GTGATTTGTGTGTGTGTTGCACAGAGTGTTCTGGCCCACTGGGCATGGAGGGTGGGATCATCTCAAACCAGCAGATCACAGCCTCTTCCACTCACCGGGCGCTCTTCGGCCTGCAGAAGTGGTACCCATACTTTGCCCGGCTGAATAAGAAGGGTCTTGTGAATGCTTGGACAGCAGCCGAGAATGACAGATGGCCCTGGATTCAGGTAACAGACTGATGCTGCTGGATTAACTCTGGTGGAAGTGCCATCAACTGTGCATCAACCTGTTGTCGGGCAGACTTGTTTCCCTCTTGTTGGCGTGTTTGTCTGAAAAGTTATTGATCAGGCTTTTAGTCATTATTAGTAGTAGTAGTAGACTATGAAGGATTAATAGCATTTTACTAAAGTTGCAGTAGTAGTTTTAGTAATTGGAGTATTGGAAAAAGTAGTAGTAGTGGTTTTAGTGGTAATAGTAGTAGTGGTAGTAGCAGTGATGTCTTGGCTGGTAGTACTGCTGGAGGTGCCCCTGCCCTACCATGCTTTAACTAGCTTTGCCTGAACCCTTTTACTTTCCAGACATGTAAAAGGAAGTGACAGAAACTGCAATTTGTTGACTGGTCACTAGAGGGTAGTGAAGTGAGCAGATTCAAATTGACCTCTATAAAAATGGAGCAAAAACCACATTTAGAAAAAAAGGTACTTTCATGACAACTTTGAGGGAGTGGTAATTTTGTTTACGTCTTGGTTCAAGGTTCAGTAAGTTTAAAGTGTCAGGTATTCGGGAGTCTTTGCTGTTGCCACATCACAGCATCCTTTGCTACTTACAATTATCTGGAAAGGATGGCTAGATACAATCATTTTGAGCCATCAAACCCTTTATCAGAAACCTGTGATAAAAAATATTGACATTGTGCCCATGATTTTTGAAGTCATTTGCAATGTGTTTGAGGTGCTCTGTGACAGCTTCTTACGTTAGTTAACCTCTTAAGCCTGAGAGTCCCCGGTACCGGGGACTTGCCCCCTTGTACATTACATTTTTGCTCATAGCTCACTAACCCTGAGAATAACCCACACATAATAAATACCGTTGTGCTCAGCGGAAACTCCTCTAAAAACATATCTAATTCAGTTTCATATCCGTTAACCACAGCTGTAACACCATGCAAATAAACAACAACATATCTGGAGTATAATTCATGACCAAGTTTTTGTTTATGTGCGATATGTATCTACAATATAAACAGAAACACCAAAACCATGGCATCAAATGAAAGCTAACAACCAGCAGCATCCAGCAATATGCAACTCATTTACATGGCGCAAAGTATTTCAGAGCAGGGAGCGAAAGTTCCCCGAAAAAAACGCCAGCAAAAACAAAGCAAGCATGTAAATATTGTCTTATCTTTGCCATTTTTTCAACAAAAGTTATTTCCAAAGCGATAAAAGTCTGTTGTTATGTCCGGTCGATGGCTTCGCAGAAACTCCATTTTGGCTCTTTTCTGTAGCTCTGTGCTAGCATAACATGACCAAATATGGAAACACTCCCCATGCGTAAAAGCAGTCCTCTGGGCTTAAGAGGTTAATTGTGAATTGTGATTATTTTATCTATTACTTTTACACAATATAATTGCATACATTACTGTACTAATTTTGACAGGATTGAAAATGTATTGTTTTATGACACTTTTTTTCATGCCTGGATGTTTAGCTCTTGTTTAGTATTCAGTATCTCCAGTGAAGTGCATTTGATTGATAATGCAGACAATCACTCTGGATGGAAGTCTTGGTCCATTTACCTCTAGTTTTACGATGAGTAGCATCGTGTCAGTCTTAGATTTATCCATTTAATGCTGTCTTGTAAAAGACAGAGATGGAATTGGATCCCTCATTGAATTGATATTCAGCAGGCTCCCTGTGGGGCACTGCAGTGTAATGCTCTGACCTCTGAGCCAAGCTAAAATTCTGGAAAAGTTTGAAATGACAGGCAGACTTTTTACTTGAACGTTAGCCTGTGTTTGCGCACCAGTGGCTGTTCACAGGTAAAGAGCCAGCATTACAAATGGAGAGAGAGAAAGAAAGAAATCTGAAGCATTTAGGGAGTTTGGCTGACTTTAATGATGCCCCTCGGGAAAGAGCTTTGGTGCTTTGGATCTGCAGGGTTACCACTCGTAGAGATGTGTTAAAAATATCAAACTGACTGGAATCCACAACAGCACATGACCTCTCCTGGGCTCTCTTCACTTAAATCAGAGATGACTTACTATGTTTTGGTTTGTCTTTTCTTGTTAACACATTTTTCATTCTCTGTCATTTTTATTTTGATGTTCTTTGCTTAGTTTTTTGTTTAAATGTTTAATAAATGATGTTTTCCTCTCAATGTTTTCACTTAAAACTAATCACATTAGGGCAGCACAGTGGCGCAGTGGGTAGCACTGTGGCCTTCCAGGTAGAAGGTTGTCGGTTCGAGGCTCGCCGGTGACCTTCCTGGAAGGAGTTTGCATGTTCTCCCTGTGCTTGTGTGGGTTTCCTCCGGGTACTCCGGTTTCCCCCACAATCCCCAAAAACATGCGGATAGGTTAATTGAATAAGCTAAATTCCCCTTAGGGTGTGAATGTGTGTGAATGTTGCCCTGTGATGGACTGGCGAACTGTCCAGGGTGTACCCCTGCCTCTCGCCCAATGTGTGCCGGAGATAGGCACTGGCAGACCCCCGTGACCCCGAAAGGGAATAAGCGGGAATGAAAATGAATGAATGAATGAACTAATCACATTCTGAAGGTTTATTCAGAGAGTGCTTCCTTTATTTAAATCAGTCTTGATCAATTAACTCAAATATTCTACCCTTCTTTATATTTCCTCAAGAGATACATGTCAGAGTCCTGTAACAACTAAATCATGTATGGACTGGACAGATTCGGATACATGTCTATTTTTACTATGTGTATATTACTACGAGTTTATTACGTGTATAAGAGTGTCCATAAGAACACATGTGCTAGAGTATTAATGTTGTTAGGCTAAATCAATGTGCATTATTCTTGTAACATTAGCCATTTTTGTTAATTAATTTACTGTTATCAACTTTTATATGTGCATGGGACATTAACTCTAGCACGAAGTAATGATTTTCCTAATTCTACAAGTAGTTGTATTAGAAGGAGATGGCTGTATGGCTTAACCCTTTGTATGAAAAGGATTAGGGACCCCTGTTGGCCTCACAGGGTAAGGGCAAAGGTGTATGGCTAAGGGGCTGCAATACAACTCCTGTACAATATCCCACCTTGTGTACAGTAGTTTCAGTGCTGATGACAATGGTTAGGAAGGGTCACATCAGTGATCTCAAGACAGCTTGGTCCGCAGTCACCAAGACAACAATCGGTAACACACAGCACTGTGAGGGCCTAAGTTTACCAAGGCATAGCATAAACACATAACTAAGGAGTAGCTCAAGTTGATGCACATTATGGTTCTCCCAAACCCTATGGGGAGCACTGAAGTTGTCAGAAGTCAGCCTTGAATGGCTTGGAGAGTCTGCAAAGATTCCAAAGTCTCAACCCATTGTGCAAACTACAAAAAATGTCTTCACTGTTAATGGAAGTAAGGATTAAGTTACCACATACTAAGTTATGTTTGTGAACGGGTCACATACCTATTACATAAAATGTATTAGAATAAAAGTACAAGTACCAATTTTAGTCACAACAATGTTAATAATTATGTAGGTACATGATTCAATTTTTCAAAGTAAACGTGGTATTCTTAGCAGGTCGAAAATGTAGGTTTGTTGGCAACGCTTGCATCTCAACTGTCGCACTCATGTGAAATTGCTTTGACACACTGGGGAAATTTCTTTCAGGCCATAGTGGTCAAAAGCATGAGATTTATCAGGAGAAAGTACTTTTGAACAGACACTCTGGTCATTTCTTGGGGAATTGAGATTTTCCTCAAAAATGTGTTCATTGACATTCTCTTCTGTTACATTAAACACTTTATTGGAACACTCTTTACCAACTCTCGTCATTCTGAGGTATATTTAGAGTAACCTGTCAGTCTAATCAAAATAGCTCTAAGTACCACTCATGTTGGTAAATTGGACAGTTATGAGAACTGCTCTGTGCAAATTCAATGCACGAGAGGCAATAATCAAGCAATTATAGTGTCAGGGACCCTCCTGCCCTACCAATCAACCCCAGCAACACCTGAGCATAGAGCAAATTATCATTGATAACATCCCTCACAGCTAATCACCACAAATATAACTAGTCTCCAAAAGTGTCTGGGTCATCTATGAGTGTGAGGTTCTTGAATCCCAGTCTCACCTACCTCAGCACCTCTTCATTCCTTTTTTTCTAGTAACACATTTCCATATCTGCTGTACGCTGTCTCTCTTGGTTCGTCATTGCCTGCATTTGAGAAAGTTTCAGGAGTTTGTTGTTAGGACCTGTATTTGTGAGCAAGTGTGGTGGGTATGAATGTACAGGTTAGGTGTCTACTCGGATGTGCCCTCTTAAATATGCTTAAGAAACACTATTTGACATTTTTCTTCATTATTACATAGCAGTATTTTTTATATTGCATTACCTGTTATCCAATAAATCCTGTGAATTTCCCTTTCTCTTGCTGTCTGTATCTCCCTGGAAGTGTGACAAATATGTGTTGAATGTGAGATTGAGAGATTAGTACAAAGTTTTAATAAGGAGCGTTTAATATAAATAGAGGTGCAGGTTTACCAGTGACAGCTGGAATTTCCTGTGACTAAGTCAGTAGAGTTTGAACACCAGGGAAAGCAAGAACTGACCAAACTTAGCCAATACTTGATGTCAATTTGCATAAAACTGCTTGCCAAATGTATACATTTTAACATTATATTAAGTTAATAAATTATGGTAGTATAGTAAATCATTAGGGAAAGCATGGATTTCTTTTTTTTTTTTCATTTATGTTAAGCATAACAGATATGAATACATATTATTTTAACCAAGGTGACATTTTAGAGGAGGGATTACATTTGGTCAGTTCTTGCTTTCTTTTGGGTGCGAACCCATAATCTTTCCATTGCTAGTGCAATGCTCTACTGACTGAGCCACAGGAAAGCTGAAATTGAACTCCTGCTTTTTCTCAAGAAGTGGACGATATCCATTTTCGGTAATGGAAGGGGTTACTCGAGAGAATGAGTTATGCTTGGAGTTTAATAGAGTGGTTAACTCCCTTTGAAGTCCAGTTCTTCTTAGAGATGTGTGATGGCACCAGATGACTTAGAGTTCAGTTAGATTAAATGAGTGAGGCTGCAAAACATGCCACCATCAGTGCTATACAAACATGTGTCTGTGCATATGCGAAGCATTTTGATTTACTATTTATTTACTGGAAACGCTAATGCATGTTACTTCCCTTCATAATTTGTTGTGCTTTTTCTTTATAGGCACTTTATAGGAAATGTCCTGATAGACCAATGCTGGGAAAGAGTATGAGTAATGACTTGCGTTAAGAGTGAGGGGTTAAGGTCTAGAGGGCATGTTGGGCTGGATGCATATGCGTCAGTAATGGGCTTAAGAGGGTTTGAATGCAATGATCTTTCCTGTAGTTGAAAAAAGTCAACATTTTCAATAATGACCAGACACAAAAATTTTATTATTTATCTGTCGGATTTTACAAGTTGTGTTTGTTCATGTAGCATCTGAATGGTAAAACCATATTAGGTCAAAGTGTATTTCCTCACAATGATGCCTTTGTGTAGCAATCTGATTGGGTTTATATTTATGCTAATCCCATAAAATGAGCCCACCAAGTTTTACTAGAAAGGTTCTATCATACCATATCAAACAAACTTCAGAAAAAGCTCATTTTCAGCCAAGAATAGCAATCCGAGACCCACAAACACGTTGGCTGGAGAACACACTGCTTACTGAAAAAATGCATGTGACACAATGAGGACAGAGGCACAGAGTTCACAAATGTCACAAATTTTCAGTAGACAATTGCTACAAACTTCCACATTCCATGGGTTTTAAGAATAGCTCTTGCATTAAGCATAGAGAGCTCCATGGAATGGATATCATGGCCAAGAAGCAAAGCATTGGAGATGCATTCTCTGGAGATGAATTCTCAAAATTGCATCAAATATTTGTGAATAAAGCACAGTTTCCATTTAATGGCTCCTAGAGAACAAAATCATCACTTCCTGATAAACTGGCACCAAATAACAAAATGGTTGCTGCATTAAGAAGTGTGATATAAATTATACATAGACAGAAGTCATGTCATCTTGCTATTGGAAGCGGGAGACTGCTATTTGGGAATGCATCCAGTCTAGACAATACTGAACCCTGATAATCACGAACCACTTGATGACAGACTTTTAGAGTGAATTTTAGAATGACCAAAACAACATTTTTATTGTGTAATGAAATCCACTGGTTAGTGCATTAATGCACCCCATCATGCCCCAGTTGCATTTTGATTTATACTGTAAATTCATTTCCATTATAGTTTATGCATAAAAAGTTATAAAATATAATCAGATAAAAAGTTTATCGTACTTAGTTGGAATTTAAATAACATATATATTTTCAGAGTTTGTGTGTTGATTAATATCATGAAAAAATACGCATTAAATTAGATGAATGGAAACACAGCTGTTGAGTCTATTTTCGGTGGATAACACAAGATTTGTGTATACATAGGAAGGGGGACTATGATGTGAGTTTTTTTTTTCTTTCAAAAGCTGAGAGTCCCCATAGTTCTAGGGAAACTAGAACTATGCTTATAGCATTAGAATACAGAGAGATTTTGGACAGTTCCATTTGCCCAACAATTTCGGAAAGTGATGACCTCTTTCTTTCCCAATATGTTTATGCGCAGAAATGGAAATTCCTGTTTTTTTTCACTTCAGGGATCAGTTTTAGTGAAGACAGTACACCAAGCCGAAATAAATGAATGACCTCGCAAATGTACTTCTGGTAAAATAAATCCCTTTAATTTGTCCTCAAACCTTGTGGGTATCCTTCACTGAAGAGCTGGGGTTGTTATAAATGCAAAGCATGACCTTATTGTAAACCCAGTGGATTAAGAGGGACACTCACAAACATTTAAAAGCATATGTTTGAAAACTTGGTGCCTTTAAGTATAGTGTTTTCAAAATTAATCCCACTTAAAACTAAAGTAACAGTCAGCCGTTATAGTGAATAAACGTGTGTATTCTTCTTTATGTGCAAGGCTCCTTTATTTCCCCAGCTCAGCATATTAAAGCTTGTGTCAGGGGTTGCAGAATTGAGATCATGATTGGTAAACACCTCTTGTATGATTGGATGTCAAGCTGATAAACGGCCTTTAGATATTACAGTGCTTTATGTCTGCTCTGCGCAAATAAATCAATTTCTGCCAAAATGACAAATTAATGCCTTGCCAGATGTTTCCAGTGTCCCCTCCACACATGGCCCCAGCGTGTGTCTCCATTAGATGAAGTGACTCCAGCATCTGTGGCCATTATGTGCATGAAGCATCAGCAGTCAAGGCCTTTTACTCACAGGCTTTTAATTGGTCACCTCTGCTTTCGTCTTGTGCATGTCTAAGAGAGAACAGAGGAGAGATTAATTTCTGTATAATTAAATTTATGATGGGTTATGTGATTAGAACATCACACCAAGATTAATTTCACTTAACAGCTTGATAAGTTAAACTATTAGTCAAGGATGTTTTGACCCAATAAATAATTTATGTTTTATTTTATTTCTGTATTAATATTTTGAGATGATGTTTTAAGTTACAAATATTTGAAATATTATAAATGAAACTTTGGGAAAGAGTAGTGGAAGCTAGGCTAAGAAGAGAAGTGGATATTTGTGAGCAGCAGTATGGCTTCATGCCCAGGAAGAGCACTACTGATGCAATTTTTGCTCTGAGATTGTTAATGGAGAAGTACAGAGATAGTCAGAAGGAGCTGCACTGCGTCTTTGTGGATTTAGAAAAAGCGTATGACAGGGTGCCGAGAGAGGAGCTATGGTCCTGTATGAGGAGGTCAGGAGTGGCAGAGAAGTACGTCAGAGTAGTTCAGGATATGTATGAGAGAAGTAAGACAGCAGTGAGATGTGCTGTAGGTCAGACAAAGGAGTTCAAGGTGGAGGTGGGGCTACATCAAGGATCAGCTTTGAGTCCCTTCTTATTTGCTATGGTGATGGACAGGTTGACAGATGAGGTCAGGCAGGAATCTCCGTGGACAATGATGTTTGCAGATGACATTGTGATTTGTAGTGAGAGCAGAGAGCAGGTGGAGGAAAACCTGGAAAGTTGGAGGTCAGCTCTAGAAAGAAGAGGAATGAAAGTCAGTCGCAGCAAGACAGAATACATGTGTTTGAACGAGAGGGAGGGAAATAGAACAGTGAGGTTACAGGGGGCTGAGGTCAAGAAGGTGCAGGAGTTTAGGTGTTTGGGGTCAACAGTCCAGTGTGACGGGGAGTGTGGAAAAGAGGTGAAAAGACGAGTGCAGGCAGGTTGGAGTGGGTGGAGAAAAGTGTCAGGGGTGTTGTGTGACAGAAGAGTGTCAGCTAGGATCAAAGGAAAGGTGTACAGAACAGTAGTGAGACCAGCAATGATGTATGGGTTGGAGACTGTGGCAGTGAGGAAGAGACAAGAGACAGAGCTGGAAGTAGCAGAGATGAGGATGTTGAGGTTCAGTTTAGGAGTGACGAGGATGGACAAGATTAGGAATGAGCACATCAGAGGGACAGCTCAGGTTGGTTGTTTTGGAGACAAAGTCAGAGAGGCCAGGTTGAGATGGTTTGGACATGTGCAGAGGAGGGATAGTGGTTATATTGGTAGAAGGATGTTGGAGATGGAGATGCCAGGCAAGAGGTCAAGAGGAAGACCAAAGACGAGATATATGGATGTGCTGAAAGAGGACATGAAGGTAGTTGGTGCAAGAGTAGAGGATACTGAGGACAGAGTTAGGTGGAAAAGGATGATTCGCTGTGGCGACCCCTAAACTGGGAACAGCCGAAAGGAAAAGAAGAAGAAGTTTTAAGTTACAAATATTTGCTATGGCCATTGAGCACCCTTTACACATTTATGATTAATTGGTATTGAGGCTCTTCCAAGCTCAGGCTATTCCCAATTTGAGACTCCAACCATCCATCAGAAACCGGTGTGTGACATCACAGACACTTCATCCATTTTTTATAAAGTCTAAAGTGGTGATGCATCATCAGAGACATTTAAAGACCAGGAAGGAATCCAACTAGAAATGTTTTTTCTCTTCCTTACATTCACACAACATCCTGGCAGCACCATTCCCCAGGAGCCTCTCAGTCATCTGTTCACCTGTGGGGAAAAAAAGCCTTGACTGACTGCTTTCATGCATTGTTCAAAAGCAGACTAAACACCTTGACACAGTCTAAGCGTTTCTCCATTAGTGTGACAGAAGAGCTGCACTCAGAAATAGTGTGGGAGTAATTCTTAATGGCTCATTACGTACAGATCAGCTCTTTGCTCAATGATGCTGCTTCATATGTACATATGTAGAGTGTGATGAATGTGCCTGCCACATGTGCATTGTGCACAAGTGAGTGGAAGAGTACATGTGTATGAATTCAGACAGGAGAAGCATAGAGAGCAGAGCAGCAGTGTGTTTGTGTTCATTTCCATACTGTCTATAGCTCTCTGTCTCCTCTTCTCCTTTCAAGAAGCCATGCAAGAAGGACATTAGTGAATCTCTTTCTTTTTGTGAGTTGGGGAATGTGTGGCAAGCAGCTGATTTAAATTTGTTGTTTAGGATAGTACACTGAATATACTGGACACATGCTACTTGCCGCGTCAGAAATAGCCAGCTAGGTTTTATGATTAGCATTGAAATATTCAAAAGAAATTTAAGTGTATTTCCACGCAATGTGATTTCATACTGGCCACTCATTGGTCGACTGCATTTTGATTGTTTAGAATAAATGTGCAAACAATGGAGAACTGAATTCCTGAAGCCTGGGACAATGCGGTCAAAATGGACAGAATTTTTTACCCTTTTTTTGCATCTTTTACAAAAAAAAAATGTTAATTGCTTAAGATGCATGTCACAAATGGTGCTCGGTTTACAAACTACTCTAAGTT